GAAGATCTCTGTCCTCCACCTGGTCATGATGTAGATGTGAGAACAGAGGCTTCTCTCCATCATATTCACTTTTAAAAGGAACTGCAGTGACTGAAAACCTGGTGACATTAACCTCCATCATCACACCAAGTTGTCTCCCTCCAGACTGGTCCAAGGTTCTTCCTCTTCCTCTAAGTTGAGGGGTTCTGGGTCGGGCTGGTCCACACCAGGTATCCATTCTTCTGAAGGTTCTACTTTAATCAGCACCATCTGTTGATCATTTGCAGGGACCACTGAAACACATCAAGGACATTATATTTACTTTCACACATACATAATTTATCTTGTTGCACTGAGTAAACAGGGTTTACTTCTTCACTGTTGTTGATATTATCATGGGTTCTTCATTTATATTGATGAGATGTAGGAGCTAGCTTAGCTTAATAAAACTATTAAAGAAACTATTAAATACAGAGCACCACCTGAAAATCATTAAAGTTTATTATCGGTCCAAAGTGTCTGTTGGTCCCTAACCCAAAATGCTGTGAAATTTGCGCCATTATTTGACCAAGAGAATGTCCGTGTTCGTCTGTAAAATTATATTCTCACTTTAGTTTTTCGCAGATTGCAACGGAGTAAAAACTACATTAAAATAGTAATTTAAATATCGGAACATTTGAGGTTTATTTACAGATATCTGACCTGAAAGAAGCAGATAAATAAGAAGTGATGAGGGAATCAGATAGGTGTAACAACCGTGCCGTCTGTTTATTGGTCCCCAGTACAACAAAAACACGAAAGTTCCGTCCATTACTAAAATAAAAATTATTACAAAATTACATGAAATTACAAATACACTAGTTCAGGGAATTTTTTTCTAACAGAAAAACTGTTAGCTGTGTCATTGTAAACCCCTGAATTACCTTCTATTCTAGAACTCTTCTAGACAAATTACTGAGTATTTGATGACCAATTATTTTACTGGTTGGTTTAACCCCTTTGGACAATTTGTTAGTGTCTCAGGCTTGTAGATCCCTACACCATGAGACAATATTAACAGAAACAAAACTTTCGACCAGTAACAGAACAAACTGTGGAGTCACAAACAGGAGACTTTTACAATAACACAGAAACTATAACTTTTTTTTAAATGAAAAAWCACGATAACAAAAGAAAACTTAAGATTAGAAAATTCTAGAAATAATAAATAGGAGTGATCAGAATACTAATGCAGCATCTTTACAATATTTCCCACTATTGTTT